AACTGCAATGAGATGACAGTCAGCGCCTGCACAAGCAATAGCGAAGTCATCAACATAGAGTGATGACCAAATATTGGGTGGAAGAACAGAGGCCAAATCATTTATAGCAAGGAGAAAAAGTGTGTTCAGAACACATCCCTGAGGGACACCTTCAGCTTGGACAAAGTCCGGGGAAAGAACATTATTGACTCGAACACGGAAATGACTGTCAGTTAAAAAGTTCTTAAGGAAGGATGGTAGATTGCCTCGGAGGCCTAAGGAGTGGGCCTGGGCCAAAATATTATACCTCCAAGTTGTGTCATATGCCTTCTCAAGGTCAAAAAATATGGCAATAACTGAGTGATTATTTGCAAAGGCATTACGAACATACGTATCCAAGCGTAGTAAGGGGTCTATGGTAGAACGGCCCTTACGAAAGCCGTATTGACTAGCGGAGAGACTGTTGTGTGTCTCTAAATACCACATTAAACGGCGATTTACCAGACGTTCCATCACTTTGCAAACTGCACTAGTAAGAGCGATGGGACGATAGTGGGAAGTATCATGTCCTGTAGTACCCGGCTTGCGGAAAGGGAGAACAATGGCAGATTTCCACAGCTGGGGAAGAACTCCTTGTGCCCAAATAAGATTGAAGAAGTGTAAGAGGACTACATGGGCTGACTGATGTAAATGTTGTAACATACGAATATGAATGTCGTCGGGTCCAGCTGCCGATGATCGGCAAGCTGAGAGTGTTGCCTCCAGTTCCTGAAGTGTAAAAGGCACATTATACTGTTCTTCTCTGAGAGAAGAAAAGTCCAAGGGTACTAACTCTCTGGCAGACTTTGAGGAAAGAAACGAGGGGCATAGATGGAGCCCTCGGGAAATACGGACCAGATGAGTGCCAATTTCAATGGCAACGTCAAGAGGGTTTGCTACATCAATACCAGAGACCCGTAGAACAGGAGCCGGGTCAAGAGAGTATTTACCACTCAATTTCCTCACTTTTTTCCAGACTGCACTCATAGAGGAAGTAGAGGTGATGGTGGAAACATAGTCTCACCAGCAAGTGCGTTTAGCATCACGGATGACATGGCGAGCGATTGCACGCTTCTGCTTAAAATCAAGAAGTCTCTCATTGGTTCTATTGTATCGGTACCTGCCCCATGCAGTGCATTTCAAATGTACTGCATGAGCACAAGCAGGAGACCACCAAAGACACGCACTTCTGAGAATGCTTGCCTGAGGTTTGGGGTATAGAATGAGAAGCTGTGGTATAAACTGACATCGAGAAGAGGTGTAGGAGCTCATCAATGGAGGATGAAGAAGGAACCTCACTAAAAGCAGTGAGCTGCGAGTAAAGGTCCCAATTTGCCCGATCAAATTGCCAGCGAGGGCTACGGAAAGGTGGTGAATATGAAGGAGAAGTAAGAATGATTGGAAAATGATCGCTGTCATGTAAGTCCGGTAGAACAGACCAGGTGAAGTCTAGTGCAGTGGAGGAAGAGCAGACGGATAGATCGATGCAAGAGAGAGTATGAGTACGAGGATCAAAATGGGTGGGAGTACCCGTATTTAAAACATGGAGGGGGTGAGAGGCGAGAAAAGCCTCCAACTGGATGCCATGTGAGTCACAATGAGACCCCCCCAGAGGAAATGGTGGGCGTTAAAATCGCCAAGTAACAGAAGTGGTGGTGGTAAGGATGAAACAAGAAAGGTAAAGTCTGGGATAGAAAATGCTCGAGAAGGAGAGCAGCCCATATCCACTTATTCAAGTGGATATGGGCTGCAGTGTAATGCAGCGAGGTATGGACAAATAGTTGACAGTACGGAATATCATTGTGTAGAAGAAGGGCACTTTCATTAAAGGTCCCATCTGAGAAAGGATCTGAAGAATACAATAAATTATAGCCTTAGATAGGTTGGAAAACAGCTGAGTGTAATTTTGGTTCTTGTAAGCAAGCACCAACAGGGTAAAACCTGGAAAGCAACATCTGAAGCTCACCCCGATTACCCCTGAGGCCGCGGATATTCCACTGTAAATAGGCCATGATTGGCGATGAAGAAAATACCAGGAATCCATAGGTAAAGCCACCTACGGACTAGAGGGGTTAGAAAAGTCAACGTGTGGTGGCATTGGAAGACGTTCAAGCAGCGAAGGAACGGAGCTTTGCAAAGAATGGGATTGTGAAGATAGAGGAGAGGGAAGAGAAGGAACAGGAAGTGAATCAGTGTCCATTGAAGGTTTAGTCTCTGCAATATATTCTGAAATGGCTTCAAGTGTTTCTGAATTCAAAGATGTATGGGAGACCATACTGGAGGTAGAAGGGGAAGGGTGAGTAAAGACTGGAACAGAAATGGACTGTACCAAAGTAGAGGGGGACAAAAGAGTGTAAGGGACTGGAGATGAAGTGTGGGGGGGGGACAGAAGAGGCAGAAACCTGGGAGGTGGCAGAAGAGGGAGAAACTTGGGAGGGGATGGGGGTGGAAGGCATAGTACGAGGAGGAGGGTGAATCTCCACACTTGTAATAGAGCCAGAGAGAGGGGAAGAACTGGGCACAGAGACTGGAAAGGTAAAGTGTGGAGGTGGAAGAAGGGAAGGAAGGGGCAAAGAAGATTCGAGCACTGTGGATTTTTTGGACTTCTGAGAAGTAGAGGGGCGATTGGTATAAGGTGTCGTATGAGGTCTTGTCGATACTGGGGCTTGTGAGGAAGGATGCGAAGATGTGAGAACAGACTGAGTTGTAGTCGGGACGTCAGAGCCAAGGACAGCAAAAGGATTAGATGCCGGAGTGGCTATGGGAGGGGTAACAACAGAGGAGGCTGCAGAAGATGGGACCCTAGAAGTGGGGGGATGTTTTGAAACACGAGAATAAGAAACACGGGGTAGTCTCCCTTGGAGGCGGAGATGAGTAACTGCCATAGCATAAGGGAGACCTTCTGCCTCTTTGAGGCAACGGAGTTCACGTTCATTTAAGTAGACTTGGCAACGGCGGAAGTATGAAGGGTGAGCTTCATTACAATTAAGGCAAGATGGAGGTTGACTGCAAGATGTATTAGAATGGTCGTCGGCACCACAGACTGGGCATTCGGCTATAGATCTGCAATATTTCGCTGGGTGACCAAAACGCCAGCAATTTCTACATTGTTGCGGTGTAGGTATCACCTTTCGAACTTGTAACCGATGTCCCACGACATATACAGAGGATGGGAGTTCTCGGCTGTCAAAAGTTAAACGAGCCACATTGCAAGGGTAACGTCTCCGCCAATGGGCAGGAAGGACATAAGTGTCTACTTTGAGGATTGGGAGATCCTGGAGTTCCAGCTGTTCAAGAATCTCATTGCCACATGACTGGAAATTCTGTTGGACTATGGTATGGGGCAGAATGACAGTACCACTACAAGAATTGAGAGAAAGATGTTTTTCAACAGTGATAGTAGTAGTATAGATATTCGAAAGGAGAGAAAGATCATGAGCTTGGGTAGCATTCTGGACAGTGACGATGCACGTACCGCTCTTGAGAGCATGAAATGAAATATCTCTACCAACATGACGTAGGAGCACTTTGCCAATACTATGGTCAGAAAGATAAATAGAAGAAGAAGTCGGTCTTATAGTAAAGAATTTAGTCCATTGTGTGGTCCGAAACTGAGCGTGGAGAGGGAGTGCATGACGTGTCGGTCTTTTCTGAGTAGAATGGGAAGGTAATGAAGGAGCATCATCAGGAGATTGACGTTGGCGTTTAGGAGTAGGACCAGAGTTGGTCCGGCGTGAAATGGGCTGGCGATTCGAAAATTGTCATACCGTAGAGGGAGAGGCCGGAAGCATAGTCAAAGGAGAGCGGTCAGACAAATCGAAGGAGTCAGTCGAAGCCCCGGTACCTGAAGCGGGTGAGGAAACAGCACCAGCAAGAGGTACAGGGGCATCAGGAGTGTCCGAAGAGTGGTCTAAAAACAAGGCAGGGTCAGAATGGGGTGCGGTATCAAGAAGGGGCCTGGGGGTAGTGGGTTCATGGATTGGGTTCTCCATGGTTAGGTTACTCCTTTGCTTTTAAGGAAAAAAAAGAAAGAAGAAATGAAAATAAAAATAAAAAAAAAAAGATAAAAAAAAGGGGGGAGCAGGGAGGAATAGTTCCCAGGAGGAATGAAAGGGCCAGAAATCTCCCTCCGCACCCAAGAGGACCTCAGCACCGCTAGTAGCGCAGATGCAGCATGGAACCCGTGCCATACCCTACCCTTCATGCCAGTAAACCAGCAATCCGGGATAGCAACCTCACAACTGCCGAGCTACCTCGGTGGACAAAAGAGAGGGCGGCCGGATATCCACCACAAAGCATACCTCCTTCGGCCACCACCCCTGGAATCCGAAAGGTGGCTTCCAGAGATACATCCGTCGCCCGAAAGACACCCAAAGCTACTCCGGGATACCGGAGAGGGATTGGGACATCCCCAGGCGATCCAGATTCCACGGCAAACTACGCCACCGCCAAAAACCTCAACGGAATGGGATGGACCCCGGTATCCTTTCCCCTACCTAGGAACTAGCGTGCCTGTGGGAGAAATCCCAAAGGCCAAAAAGAGGAAGGGCAAAAGGGAGGGGTGGGGAGGAGGAGGAAAGGAAAAAAGGGGAGGATGGGATAGGGAGGGGGGATTGGGGGGTAATTAGGTTCGGTCTGAGGAAGGAGACCGACAGGTCTGATTTCTCAGACCAAGAGCCTCTTCGCCACAACAAGGAGCCCCCCTTGAAGAGGCTGCCCTAGAAGAGCTGGGCATGGTGTCGATGCTCTGGCTCAGGAACCTACCCTGCCCTAGAAGAGCTGGGCATGGTGTCGATGCTCTGGCTCAGGAACCTACCCTGCCCTAGAAGAGCTGGGTATAATGATCGTTCTCAAAATACCCCTCCAGGTATACTCTAAGTATATCATATATTTTTTAATAATTCTCGTTGCACATTTTTTATTTAAATAACTAGTAAAAACATTTATCAGCTTTGAGATAATAAAAGGTTTTAATAAAACTATTTTTATTACAAAGTTTTATAATTTAATAAAAAATGTATTAGTGGGTAATAAAGGAAAGTCATTTTTTGGTTATTAGTTTTATTGAAGAACATAGTTAATGTTGCCTTAAGTCAGCAGGTGAAACAAAGACTTGACTGACTTGACTGACGGCTGACAGAGCCTTGTTGCTGACTGACTGACTAAGACAATACCCCAGGTAGGGTAGGTTAGGGGCCAGGCAGGGCACTGCTGTGATGGTGAGTACCCTGGGGGCCCTCCAGGCAAGCCCAGGGGTAGTGATGGTAGCTAGGGATACCCTGGAATACTCAGGGGCCCCTAGGCATGCCCAGAGATGGTGCTGGTAGCTAGGGATACCCTGGGTACTAGTGCCCATGGTGGCAGTGGGCGTTCCCCCTCCGGATGGCAACGGTTTGGGTCTAATATTTGCGGATTCAGTGTTCACTTCAGGTTAATAGGCTGTGCCCAGCTATACCCCGTGTCCTACCCCGGCCTGGAGGAAGATAGGCCTATCCAAAAGCTCCACAGAGGCCTCCAACCTTACCAAAACAGCCATGAGAACAGCAGGGCAGGTTCACTTTCTCACTTATAACTAAAAAAATCTCATTTTTTCAATTTCCATCAATTTTTTCCAGCATTTTAGGCCTATAATGATAATTTATATATTGTCTGTGGGTTGATGTAGCCACAGAATAAATGTACACTGTAGACAGTCATAAGAGCGGTGGTGATGCTGTGTTGCTGTCAGGCCACGAGATAATACGTATTATGATCTTAGATGAATTTCTTACAGGAGTTGGGTCATCTTTTTGAGGAAAGCTGTGAAGGGACATTAAGAAGTGTTAGAAAGTCCTTCCTCTAACTCCACTTCTTTCTAACATGGTGACAAGCTAACTTTGATGTCTGAAAGTTAATTTTCTAACTTGAATTTGAAATGAAAGAGGTTCGGAAAGAAGGTGGGACATATGAAGACTTAGAAAGACGTTCTTCTAATTGCCCTTCTTTCTAACAATGATAACAAGCTAACTTTGACCTCTAAAGCTAGATTTTCTAATGTTAAATTGCAATCTTATGGGACAAATTGAGCTTAATCCAATATATTGACTGTATTGAATAATATATATATATACATATTATATTACTAATTCCAGGTCATGCAAGGGTAACTACTGATAACTACTACCACACTGCCAACAACCACACTGCTAACAACCACACTACTAACTACCACATCCACTATATATACAGGGTGTTTCCAATTTATAGACCCAATTTTTAAGCAATATATACTAAAATTGGGTCTTTCATTTTGAAACACTATATATAATATATATATATATATATATATATATATATATATATATATATATATATATATATATATATATATATCACAATAATGATTTTGTAAGTTCAGAACGTGTTCAGAACGTGTTTAGAACGTGTTTACATGTTCAGAACGTGTTTACGTATTTAGAACGTGTTTACAACGTGTTTAGAATGGTTTTCAGAACACGTTTAGAGCGTGTCCAGAATGCGTTTAGAGCATGTTTAGAACATGTTCAGAGCATGCTTAGAACGTGTATACTCAGGTCATGTTTAGAATGCGTTCAAAGCATGTTCAGAAAGCATTCAGAATGCGACCAGAACGTGTTCAAGACATCAGTTGAAAAGTTCACTGTCTCAGAGGTTCACTATAAGGCAAGAAACATCCGCTTAAAGTAATCTACCACATATAAGGTTAGAAGCGCAAGGAACCATTCATCTTTCACTACCAATCAACCGATAGATAAATAGATGGTAAACAAAGGAGAATAAACAAGGGATAACTAATATAACAGATATATATAAGGATAACTAAATGTAGGGATAACTATAATAAATAGATGTAGGGGTAACTAATATAATAGATGTAGGAATAACTAATATAATAGACAGATGCAGGAATAACTAATATAATAAATAGATGTAGGGGTAACTAATATAATAGATGTAGGAATAACTAATATAATAGACAGATGTAGGAATAACTAATATAATAAATAGATGTAGGGATAACTAATAGACAAATGTAGGGATAACTAATATACTAAATAGCTGTAGGGATAACTAATATAATAAATAGATGTAGGGATAACTAATATAATAGACAAATGTAGGGATAACTAATATAATAAATAGCTGCAGGGATAACTAATATAATAAATAGATGTAGGGATAACTAATATAATAGACAAATGTAGGGATAACTAATATAATAAATAGCTGCAGGGATAACTAATATAATAAATAGATGTAGGGATAACTAATATAATAGACAAATGTAGGGATAACTAATATAATAAATAGCTGTAGGGATAACTAATATAATAAATATATGTAGGGATAACTAATATAATAGACAAATGTAGGGATAACTAATATAATAAATAGATGCAGGGATAACTAATATAACAGACAAATGTAGGGATAACTAATATAATAAATAGCTGTAGGGATAACTAATATAATAAATAGATGTAGGGATAACTAATATAATAGACAAATGTAGGGATAACTAATATAATAGACAAATGTAGGGATAACTAATATAATAAATAGATGTAGGGATAACTAATATAATAGACAAATGTAGGGATAACTAATATAATAGACAAATGTAGGGATAACTAATATAATAAATAGATGTAGGGATAACTAATATAATAGACAAATGTAGGGATAACTAATATAATAAATAGCTGTAGGGGATAACTAATATAATAAATAGATGTAGGGATAACTAATATAATAGACAAATGTAGGGATAACTAATATAATAGATGTAGGGATAACTAATGTAATAGATGTAGGGATAACTAATATAATAAACAGATGTAGGGATAATATAATAGATGTAGGGATAACTAATATAATAGATGTAGGGATAACTAATATAATAGACAAATGTAGGGATAACTAATATAATAGATGTAGGGATAACTAATATAATAGATGTAGGGATAACTAATATAATAGATGTAGGGATAACTAATATAATAGATGTAGGGATAACTAATATAATAGATGTAGGGATAACTAATATAATAGATGTAGGGATAACTAATATAATAGATGTAGGGATAACTAATATAATAGATGTAGGGATAACTAATATAATAGACGTAAGGATAACTAATATAATAAATAGCTGTAGGGATAACTAATATAATAGATGTAGGGATAACTAATATAATAGATAGCTGTAGGGATAACTAATATAATAAATATAATGATAATTTGGTCCATTTAAAGGAAGATAACGGATAATAAGGTTAATATACAGTGTTATATGCATAAGTAGACCACTGTAGCCGCTAGTTAATGCTGCTTCAAATTCTATGTTCGTTAGACATGTCTAAATGTGTCAAAAACTTACTAGAAATGACCCATTTTGATTTAGATTTTGAAGGCCAAAACTCTCTTTAGGAAGGCTGGAAAAATTAGACAAAATTTCTAAATTCTTAGAAAAAAATTAGACGAAGGTTTCTAAATTCTTAGAAAAAATTAGACGAAAGTTCTAAATTCTTAGAAAAATTAGACGGAAATTTCTAAATTCCTGGAAATTTAGACAAAACTTTCTAAATTCCTGGAAAATTTAGACAAAACTTTCTAAATTCCTGAAAAAAATAGATGAAATATTCTAAATTCTTAAAAAAAATGGATGAAAATTTCTAAATTTCTAAAAATTTAGAAAAAACTTCTAAATTCTTAGGAAAATTAGAAGAAAAATTTAAAATTCCTGCAAAAAAAGAGATAAAACGTTCTAATTTCCTGGAAACTTAGATTTAGATTTTGTGCTGACCAAAAAATCATATACACATTAGAAATTTTAGAAAAATTAGACTTTTTTGAAATAGAAGATCAATTAAATCAATTTTGATAAATTAGAACTTAGAGACTATTCAGAAGTAACTTTGAAATAGTTTTAGACAATATTGAGTTTCTTCTGAGGCTATTTTGAAGAGATATTAGATAGAACATTGAATTAGACGGGTCTCGTATGATTGTTTACGATTAATAACAGAGCCTTTAGGTTTTTTCATTTTAATGGCTAGAAAATGGTCAGAAATGACTAAAAATTATCTGAGTGGAGGTAAAGTTCCGACTTTGGTGGTTCAACTCTAACAGCCACTTTAGTTAAGACGAATTGTTATTAAGATTTAAAAATGGAAGATAGTGAATGATAGTGTATAATAGTCGTCTAGTAGTGTATAATAGTCGTCTAGTAGTGTATAATAGTCGTCTAGTAGTGTATAATAGTCGTCTAGTAGTGTATAATAGTCGTCTAGTAGTGTATAATAGTCGTCTAGTAGTGTATAATAGTCGTCTAGTAGTGTATAATAGTCGTCTGTAGTGTTAATGTCGTCTAGTAGTGTATAATAGTCGTCTAGTAGTGTATAATAGTCGTCTAGTAGTGTATAATAGTCGTCTAGTAGTGTATAATAGTCGTCTAGTAGTCAGTGTATAATAGTCGTCTAGTAGTGTATAATAGTCGTCTAGTAGTCAGTGTATAATAGTCGTCTAGTAGTGTATAATAGTCGTCTAGTAGTGTATAATAGTCGTCTAGTAGTGTATAATAGTCGTCTAGTAGTGTATAATAGTCGTCTAGTAGTGTATAATAGTCGTCTAGTAGTGTATAATAGTCGTCTAGTAGTGTATAATAGTCGTCTAGTAGTGTATAATAGTCGTCTAGTAGTCAGTGTATAATAGTCGTCTAGTAGTGTATAATATCGTCTAGTAGTGTATAATAGTCGTCTAGTAGTGTATAATAGTCGTCTAGTAGTGTATAATAGTCGTCTATAGTAGTGTATAATAGTCGTCTAGTAGTGTATAATAGTCGTCTAGTAGTGTATAATAGTCGTCTAGTAGTGTATAATAGTCGTCTAGTAGTGTATAATAGTCGTCTAGTAGTGTATAATAGTCGTCTAGTAGTGTATAATAGTCGTCTAGTAGTCAGTGTATAATAGTCGTCTAGTAGTGTATAATAGTCGTCTAGTAGTGTATAATAGTCGTCTAGTAGTGTATAATAGTCGTTCTAGTTAGTGTATAATAGTCGTCTAGTAGTGTATAATAGTCGTCTAGTAGTGTATAATAGTCGTCTTAGTAGTGTATAATAGTCGTGTGTTATAGTGTAGTGTGTATAATAGTCGTCTAGTAGTTTAGTCCTGTAGTGTATAATAGTCGTCTAGTAGTGTATAATAGTCGTCTAGTAGTGTATAATAGTCGTCTAGTAGTCAGTGTATAATAGTCGTCTAGTAGTGTATAATAGTCGTCTAGTAGTGTATAATAGTCGTCTAGTAGTGTATAATAGTCGTCTAGTAGTGTATAATAGTCGTCTAGTAGTGTATAATAGTCGTCTAGTAGTGTATAATAGTCTTCTAGTTGTGTATAATAGTCGTCTAGTAGTGTATAATAGTCGTCTAGTAGTGTATAATAGTCGTCTAGTAGTGTATAATAGTCGTCTAGTAGTGTATAATAGTCGTCTAGTAGTGTATAATAGTCGTCTAGTAGTGTATAATAGTCGTCTAGTAGTGTATAATAGTCGTCTAGTAGTCAGTGTATAATAGTCGTCTAGTAGTGTATAATAGTCGTCTAGTAGTGTATAATAGTCGTCTAGTAGTGTATAATAGTCGTCTAGTAGTGTATAATAGTCGTCTAGTATTGTGTATAATAGCTCGTCTAGTAGTGTATAATAGTCGTCTAGTAGTGTATAATAGTCGTCTAGTAGTGTATAATAGTCGTCTAGTAGTCAGTGTATAATAGTCGTCTAGTAGTGTATAATAGTCGTCTAGTAGTCAGTGTATAATAGTCGTCTAGTAGTGTATAATAGTCGTCTAGTAGTGTATAATAGTCGTCTAGTAGTGTATAATAGTCGTCTAGTAGTGTATAATAGTCGTCTAGTAGTGTATAATAGTCGTCTAGTAGTGTATAATAGTCGTTTAGTAGTGTATAATAGTGTTAGTCTAGTAGTGTATAATAGTCGTCTAGTAGTGTATAATAGTCGTCTAGTAGTGTATAATAGTCGTCTAGTGTGTATAATAGTCGTCTAGTAGTGTATAATAGTCGTCTAGTAGTGTATAATAGTCGTCTAGTAGTGTATAATAGTCGTCTAGTAGTGTATAATAGTCGTCTAGTAGTGTATTAATAGTCTTCTAGTATGTGTATAATAGTCGTCTAGTAGTGTATAATAGTCGTCTAGTAGTGTATAATAGTTCGTCTAGTAGTGTTATAATAGTCGTATAAGGTAGTTGTATAATAGTCGTCTAGTAGTGTATAAATAGTCGTTAGTAGTCAGTGTTATAATAGTCGTTCTAGTAGTGTATAATAGTCGTCTAGTGTGTATAATAGTCGTCTAGTAGTGTATAATAGTCGTCTAGTAGTGTATAATAGTCGTCTAGTAGTGTATAATAGTGTCTAGAGTGTATAATAGTCTCTAGTAGTGTATAATAGTCGTCTAGTAGTGTATAATAGTCGTCTAGTAGTGTATAATAGTCGTCTATGTAGTGTATAATAGTCGTCTATAGTATGTATAATAATCGTCTAGTAGTGTATAATAGTCGTCTAGTAGTGTATAATAGTCGTCTAGTAGTGTATAATAGTCGTCTAGTAGTGTATAATAGTCGTCTAGTAGTATATGCCAGTGTATAATAGTCGTCTAGTAGTGTATAATAGTCGTCTAGTAGTGTATAATAGTCGTCTAGTAGTCAGTGTATAATAGTCGTCTAGTTGTAGTGTATAATAGTCGTCTAGTAGTGTATAATAGTCGTCTAGTAGTGTATAATAGTCGTCTAGTAGTCAGTGTATAATTAGTCGTCTAGTAGTGTATAATAGTCTCTAGTTGTGTATAATAGTCGTCTAGTAGAATGTCGCGTAGTGTATAATAGTCGTCTAGTAGTGTATAATAGTCGTCTAGTAGTGTATAATAGTCGTCTAGTAGTGTATAATAGTCGTCTAGTAGTCAGTGTATAATAGTCGTCTAGTAGTGTATAATAGTCGTCTAGTAGTGTATAATAGTCGTCTAGTAGTGTGCATAATAGTCGTCTAGTAGTGTATAATAGCTGTCTAGTAGTGTATAATAGTCGTCTAGTAGTCAGTGTATAATAGTCGTCTAGTAGTGTATAATAGTCGTCTAGTAGTGTATAATAGTCGTCTAGTAGTGTATAATAGTCGTCTAGTAGTGTATAATAGTCGTCTAGTACTGTATAATATCGTCTATAGTACGTGTATAATAGTCGTCGAGTAGTGTATAATAGTCGTTTATAGTTGTAAATAGTCGCTATAGTTGTAATTAGGTCGTCTAGAAATGTATAATAGTCGTCTAAGTAGTGATAATAGTCGTTAGTAGTCGATGTGATAAACTCAATATAGTCACTAAAAATGATAAAATTGACCTCTTATTACAAAAATTTCGAGTCTTGAAATAGGCCAAAAATTTAAAATTTGCTGAAAATAGGCCTAATTTTCGAAAATTTGGATATTCAGAAGCAAAAATTGTTGTGGTTGAGACAAGTTGTGCGAAACATCTGGTAAAGTGCGATGTTTTGCCCCTTTAACTCTCTTATAGCACTGAAGATGGCGCCTCAGAGGGGCGAAATGTTGTAGAGCAATAGTAACTACAGGGAGGGATAGTTTGCTAGAGAAGGGAGGATAGTTACTAGAGGGAGGGATAGTTACTAGAGGGAGGGATAGTTACTAGAGGGAGGGATAGTTACTAGAGGGAGGGATAGTCAACCTCGTGCTGACACACTAGGGGATAGGGGATAGTCAACCTCGTGCTGACACACTAGGGGATAGGGGATAGTCAACCTCGTGCTGACACACTAGGGGATAGGGGATAGTCAACCTCGTGCTGACACACTAGGGGATAGGGGATAGTCAATCTCGTACTGACACATTAGGGGATAGGGGATAGTCACCCTCGTGCTGACACTTACACTAAGGGATAGGGAATAGTCCTGCTAGTACTTATACTAGGGGATAGTTGTGCTAGTACTTATACTAGGGGATAGGGGATAGTCACCCTTGTGATGACACTTACACTAAGGGATAGGGGATAGTCCTGCTAGTACTTATACTAGGGGATAGTTGTGCTAGTACTTATACTAGGGGATAGTTGTGCTAGTACTTATACTAGGGGATAGGGGATAGTCACCCTTGTGATGACACTTACACTAAGGGATAGGGGATAGTCCTGCTAGTACTTATACTAGGGGATAGTTGTGCTAGTACTTATACTAGGGGATAGGGGATAATCCTGCTAGTACTTACACTAGGGGATAGTCCTGCTAGTAGTTACACTAGCAGATAGGGAATAGTTTATCACGTGCTGGGGGTCACATTACAAGGGATAGTCTATCTATCTAACTATCCATCTATCAGCAGACATTACTTACTCAGAGACGGGACTCTACTTGATATCTTTGCAGAGTTTGGTAAGAAAAGCTGTAAGAGAAGTTAATCAGATGACATTAACCAAGGTTAACATGCTGGGTAATACCTGGGCTAGCATGTTGCACCAATGTTGCAATTAACCAGGGCAACATGCTGGGTAATACCTGGGCTAGCATGTTGCACCAATGTTGCAATTAACCAGGGCAACATGCTGGGTAATACCAGGGCTTGCATGTTGCACCAATGTTGCAAGGTTATGTTTTAAGTGGGGGAATTGGGGAATCCATTCATATATGAGGCCTGGATACAGACCAGGCCATGGGGGCACTGACCCCCAGAGCCTTCTCCAGGTATATTATACACAGCCTCTCCTTACTTAGCGACGTACTCGTTTACCGACGTCTCGGACTTACGACGGGCTCTCTGACCAGTATTTATATCTAAATAATGTATATTACAGCTGATTTCCTATATTCTGTTTATTACAAATACAGTAAACTACTGTATAAACACTTGAAAAAATATACCAGAAATGTTATTTTGCAAAGGTGACAGTAAAACTTTATCAAAGATGGTTGACACAAATTCGTTTAACGACGTGGCCTTAAAAATGTAACTCCGTCGTTAAGTGAGGAGAGGCTGTATATATTAGGCCTTTTTAAAGGGGGGAGGGGGTTTAAAAAAAAATACAAAGCCTATATATATATTTGTACAGTGTAACACTGTACTGGGACATGCTGAAAAGGAAGAACTGTGAGAACCAACATGGACCAGTATGGACCAACATGGTCTGTATGGACCAACATGGTCTAGTATGGACCAGTATGGACCAACATGGTCTAGTATGAACCAGTATGGACCAACATGGTCTAGTATGGACCAGTATGGACCAACATGGTCTAGTATGGACCAGTATGGACCAACATGGTCTAGTATGGACCAGTATGGACCAACGTGGTCTAGTATGGACCAGTATGGACCAACATGGTCTAGTATGGACCAGTATGGGCCAACATGGTCTAGTATGGACCAACATGGTCTAGTATGGACCAGTATGGACCAACATGGTCTAGTATGGACCAGTATGGACCATCATGGTCTAGTATGGACCAGTATGGACCAACATGGTCTAGTATGGACCAGTATGGACCAACATGGTCCATCATCAATCAATATGGACCAGCATGGACCAGCTCTATTAAAATCATGTTGGGGCAATATTAGGTAATAATAGACAATAATGGGCAAGATGCAATAATTTAAGGGACTGATCCCCAGGTACATTTCAGAACTTCAGGGACTGATGAAGCTCCAGGGACCAAGATGCAATAATTTAAGGGACTGACCCCCAGGAATACTTTAGAACTTCAGGGACTGATGAAGTTCTAGGGACCAAGATGCAATAATTTAAGGGACTGATCCCCAGGTACATTTCAGAACTTCAGGGACTGATGAAACCCCAGGGACCAAGATGCAATAATTTAAGGGACTGATCCCCGGGTACATTTCAGAACTTCAGGGACTGATGAAACCCCAGGGACCAAGATGCAATAATTTAAGGGACTGATCCCCGGGTACATTTCAGAACTTCAGGGACTGATGAAGCTCCAGGGACCAAGATGCAATAATTTAAGGGACTGATCCCCGGGTACATTTCAGAACTTCAGGGACTGATGAAGCTCCAGGGACCAAGATGCAATAATTTAAGGGACTGATCCCCAGGTACACTTCAGAACTTCAGGGACTGATGAAGTTCTAGGGACCAAGATGCAATAATTTAAGGGACTGACCCCCAGGAATACTTCAGAACTTCAGGGACTGATGAAGCTCCAGGGACCAAGATGCAATAATTTAAGGGACTGATCCCCAGGTACACTTCAGAACTTCAGGGACTGATGAAACCCCAGGGACCAAGATGCAATAATTTAAGGGACTGACCCCCCTAAGCTCTCTTCAGAGCCTCAGTGACTGATGAGGCCCAGGAAACACTTACGTTCGTAAGGAATGAAACCATCCTCATCTTCCTCGTTGCAACACTCCTTCAACACTGGTTCAAGTTCTGACTTCTCAAGGCGCTCTCCTGCAACACAACAGCAACACAAGTTATTAGCAACACTGTCTGCAACACTGGTTATTAGCAACACTGTGTGCAACACTGGTTATTAGCAACACTGTGTGCAACACTGGTTATTAGCAACACTGTGTGCAACACTGGTTATTAGCAACACTGTGTGCAACACTGGTTATTAGCAACACTGTGTGCAACACTGGTTATTAGCAACACTGTGTGCAACACAAGTTATTAGCAACACTGTCTGCAACACTATTATTAAGCAAACACTGTCTGCACACTGGTTATTAGCAAACTGTGTGCAACACATGTTATTAGCAACACTGTGTGCAACACAAGTTATTAGCAACACTGTCTGCAACACTGGTTATTAGCAACACTGTGTGCAACACTAGTTATTAGCAACACTGTCTGCAACACTGGTTATTAACAACACTGTGTGCAACACATGTTATTAGCAACACTGTCTGCAACACAAGTTATTAGCAACACTGTCTGCAACACAAGTTATTAGCAACACTGTCTGCAACACAAGTTATTTTAGCAACACTGTCTGCAACACAAGTTATTAGCAACACTGTCTACAACACTGGTTATTAGCAACACTGTCTGCAACACAAGTTATTAGCAACACTGTCTACAACACTGGTTATTAGCAACACTGTCTGCAACACAAGTTATTAGCAACACTGTCTGCAACACAAGTTATTAGCAACACTGTCTGCAACACAAGTTATTAGCAACACTGTCTGCAACACAAGTTATTAGCAACACTGTCTACAACACTGGTTATTAGCAACACTGTCTGCAACACAAGTTATTAGCAACACTGTCTACAACACTGGTTATTAGCAACACTGTCTGCAACACAAGTTATTAGCAACACTGTCTGCAACACAAGTTATTAGCAACACTGTGTGCAACACAAGTTATTAGCAACACTGTGTGCAACACAAGTTATTAGCAACACTGTGTGCAACACAAGTTATTAGCAACACTGTGTGCAACACAAGTTATTAGCAACACTGTGTGCAACACAAGTTATTAGCAACACTGTCTACAACACAAGTTATTAGCAACACTGTCTGCAACACTAGTTATTAACAACACTGTGTGCAACATTCTAACAGCAATACAAGTTATTAGCAACACTGCAATATTCTAACACCAACACAAATTATTAGCAACACTGCAACATTCTAACAGCAACACAAATTATTAGCAACACTGCAACATTCTAACAGCAACACAAATTATTAGCAACACTGCAACACTCTAACAGCAACACAAGTTATTAACAACACAACATAGCCTGCAACATAACATACAGTAACACAACATACTCACCCAGGGACACAATACAGCATCATACAAACACAACACACTCACCCAGGGACACAACACACTCACCCAGGGACACAACACACTCACCCAGGGACACAACACACTCACCCAGGGACACAACACACTCACCCAGGGACACAACACACTCACCCAGGGACACAACACACTCACCCAGGGACACAATACACTCACCCAGGGACACAATACACTCACCCAGGGACACAATATACTCACCCAGGGACACAACACAGCATCATACAAACACAACACACTCACCCAGGGACACAACACACTCACCCAGGGACATCAATATGTGCTCCAGCTCAGCATACATCATGGTACCATTCTCAGCCTTATCATACAGCTTCAAGACTTCCATAACAACACCCAGGGACACAACACACTCACCCAGGGACACAACACACTCACCCAGGGACACAACACACTCACCCAGGGACACAACATACTCACCCAGTGACATCAATATGTGCTCCAGCTCAGCATACATCATGGTACCATTCTCAGCCTTATCATACAGCTTCAAGACTTCCATAACAACACCCAGGGACACAGAACACCACTCACCCAGGGACAACAACTACACACTACACCCAGTGACATCAATATGTGCTCCAGCTCAGCATACATCATGGTACCATTCTCAGCCTTATCATACAGCTTCAAGACTTCCATAACAACACCCAGGGACACAACACACTCACCCAGGGACACAACACACTCACCCAGTGACATCAATTTGTGCTCCACTCAGCATACCTGGTACCATTCTCAGCCTACTACAGCTTCAACCTACCATAAACACAGGGACACAATACACTCACCAGGGACACAATATACTCACCCAGTGACATCAATATGTGCTCCAGCTCAGCATACATCATGGTACCATTCTCAGCCTTATCATACAGCTTCAAGACTTCCATAACAACACCCAGGGACACAACACAGCATCATACAAACACGACATACTCACCCAGGGACACAATACACTCACCCAAGGACACAACACACTCACCCAGGGACAAAATATCACCGTGACATCAATATGTGCTCCAGCTCAGCATACATCATGGTACCATTCTCAGCCTTATCATACAGCTTCAAGACTTCCATAACAACACCCAGGGACACAACACACTCACCCAGGGACACAACACACTCACCCAGTGACATCAATATGTGCTCCAGCTCAGCATACATCATGGTACCATTCTCAGCCTTATCATACAGCTTCAAGACTTCCATAACAACACCCAGGGACACAACACACTCACCCAGGGACACAACATACTCACCCAGTGACATCAATATGTGCTCCAGCTCAGCATACATCATGGTACCATTCTCAGCCTTATCATACAGCTTCAAGACTTCCATAAAGTCCTCGTAAGATCCAGCATCCTTATCTTTCTTCACCTGAGCAAAGATAGGCAGAAAATCATCCAGTTTAATGATCTTCTCCTTTCTCTTATCTTTGCCTCCTACTTTCTCTATGACAGCCAGAGTTGGGTTCAAGTTCAGGGCCCTCAGACAGTCACCAATGTAATAGGCATCCATGGTACCATTGCCTTCAAAGTCGTAGATTGAGAAGGCGAATTTAACCCCTGGGAATGGGAGAACCTTGTTAATATTGTGTTAATATTGTGTTAATGTTGTGTTAATATTGTGTTAATATTGTGTTAATGTTGTGTTAATATTGAGATAATACTGTGGTGTTAATATTGTGTTAATATTGTGTTAATGTTGTGTTAATATTGTGTTAATATTGTGTTAATGTTGTGTTAATATTGAGATAATACTGTGGTGTTAATATTGTGTTAATATTGTGTTAATATTGTGTTAATATTGTGTTAATATTGTGTTAATGTTGTGTTAATATTGAGATAATACTGTGGTGTTAATATTGTGTTAATATTGTGTTAATATTGTGTTAATATTGAGATAATACTGTGGTGTTAATATTTTGTTAATATTGTGTTTATGTTGTGTTAATATTGTGTTAATGTTGTGTTAATATTGTGTTAATATTGAGATAATAATGTGGTGTTAATATTGTGTTAATGTTGTGTTAATGTTGTGTCAATGTTGTGTTAATATTGAGATAATACTGTGGTGTTAATATTGTGTTAATGTTGTGTTAATGTTGTGTCAATGTTGTGTTAATGTTGTGTCAATGTTGTGTTAATATTGAGATAATACTGTGGTGTTAATATTGTGTTAATATTGTGTTAAAATTGTGTTAATGTTGTGTCAATGTTGTGTTAATGTTGTGTCAATGTTGTGTTAATATTGAGATAATACTGTGGTGTTAATATTGTGTTAATATTGTGTTAATGTTGTGTTAATGTTGTGTCAATGTTGTGTTAATGTTGTGTCAATGTTGTGTTAATGTTGTGTCAATGTTGTGTTAATGTTGTGTCAATGTTGTGTTAATGTTGTGTTAATGTTGTGTCAATGTTGTGTTAATATTGAGTAATACTGTGGTGTTAATATTGTGTTAATGTTGTGTTAATGTTGTTCAATGTTGTGTTTAATAGTTGTGTCAATGTTGTGTTAATGTTGTGTCAATGTTGTGTTAATATTGAGATAATACTGTGGTGTTAATATTGTGTTAATGTTGTGTTAATGTTGTGTCAATGTTGTGTTAATATTGAGATAATACTGTGGTGTTAATATGTGTTAATATTGTGTTAATGTGTGTTAATATTGAGATAATACTGTGGTGTTAATATTGTGTTAATGTTGTGTTAATGTTGTGTTAATATTGAGATAATACTGTGGTGTTAATATTGTGTTAATATTGTGTTAATGTTGTGTTAATATTGTGTTAATGTTGTGTTAATGTTGTGTTAATATTGTGTTAATGTTGTGTTAATATTGAGATAATAATGTGGTGTTAATTTTGTGTTAATATTGTGTTAATGTTGTGTTAATATTGAGATAATACTGTGGTGTTAACTATTGTGTTAATATTGTGTTAATGTTGTGTTAATATTGAGATAATACTGTGGTGTTAATATTGTGTTAATGTTGTGTTAATATTGAGATAATACTGTGGTGTTAATATTGTGTTAATATTGTGTTAATGTTGTGTTAATATTGTGTTAATGTTGTGTTAATGTTGTGTTAATATTGTGTTAATGTTGTGTTAATAATGAGATAATACTGTGGTGTTAATATTGTGTTAATATTGTGTTAATGTTGTGTTAATATTGAGATAATACTGTGGTGTTAATATTGTGTTAATGTTGTGTTAATGTTGTGTTAATGTTGTGTTAATGTTGTGTTAATGTTGTGTTAATATTGAGATAATACTGTGGTGTTAATATTGTGTTAATGTTGTGTTAATGTTGTGTTAATATTGAGATAATACTGTGGTGTTAATATTGTGTTAATATTGTGTTAATGTTGTGTTAATATTGAGATAATACTGTGGTGTTAATATTGTGTTAACTGTTGTGTTAATGTTGTGTTAATTTGTGTTAATGTTGTGTTAATATTGAGATAATTACTGTGGTGTTAATATTGTGTTAATGTTTGTTAAGTTGTGTTAATATTGTGTTAATATTGTGTTAATGTTGTTTAATATTGTGTTAATATTGTGTTAATGTTGTGTTAATGTTGTGTTAATGTTGTGTTAATGTTGTGTTAATATTGAGATAATACTGTGGTGTTAATATTTGGTTAATATTGTGTTAATGTTGTGTTAATCATGAGATAATACTATGGTGTTAACATGTGTTAATGTTGTGTTAATATTGAGATAATACTGGGTGTTAATATTGTGTTAATATTGTGTTAATGTTGTGTTAATACTTGTGTTAATTGTGTTAATGTTTGTTAATATTGAGATAATACTGTGGTGTTAATATTGGTTAATATGTGTTAATATTGTGTTAATTTGACTATTATTGAGATAATACGTGGTGTTAATACTGGTGTATAATTATGCAATATTGTGTTAATACTGTATTAGCAACTGGTGGTAGTGTTAATATTGTGTTATGTTAGTTATATTGTGTAATTTTTGTTAAACACTGTTAACACAGTTGTTAGTATTAACACCTGTGTTGTAGTGTAATATTATGTTAACACTGTGTTAACACAGTGTGTTAGTATTAACACTGTGTTAACACAGTGTGTTAGTATTAACACTGTGTTGTAGTGTTAATATTATGTTAACACTGTGTTAACACAGTGTGTTAGTATTAACACTGTGTGAGGCGCCCACACCATATTAGGCTGGTCTATTTCTGGTGATAGCTGATACTGTCATCAGTGCCAAGACTGTCTGGGCTGACAGCCAGGATGCCACACCCTCACATGCTCTAGTGGATAGACTTTAAACCCCATTAACCAACCAGTGTTAATGACCCTGGTGTAGTAGATAGACTTTAAACCCCATTAACCAACCAGTGTTAATGACCCTGGTGTAGTAGATAGACTTTAAACCCATTAACCAACCAGTGTTAATGATCCTGGTGTAGTAGATAGACTTTAAACCCCATTAACCAACCAGTGTTAATGACCCTGGTGTAGTAGATAGACTTTAAACCCCATTAACCAGCCAGTGTTAATGATCCTGGTGTAGTAGATAGACTTTAAACCCCATTAACCAACCAGTGTTAATGATCCTGGTGTAGTAGATAGACTTTAAACCCCATTAACCAACCAGTGTTAATGATCCTGGTGTAGTAGATAGACTTTAAACCCCCTTAACCAACCAGTGTTAATGATCCTGGTGTAGTAGATAGACTTTAAACCCCATTAACCAACCAGTGTTAATGATCCTGGTGTAGTAGATAGACTTTAAACCCCATTAACCAACCAGTCTTAATGACCCTGGTGTAGTAGATAGACTTTAAACACCATTAACCAACCAGTGTTAATGACCCTGGTGTAGTAGATAGACTTTAAACCCCATTAACCAACCAGTGTTAATGACCCCGGTTAGTAGATAGACTTTAAACCCCATTAACCAACCAGTGTTAATGATCCTGGTGTAGTAGATAGACTTTAAACCCCATTAACCAACCAGTGTTAATGACCCTGGTGTAGTAGATAGACTTTAAACCCCATTAAACCAACCAGTGTTAATGACCCTGGTGTAGTAGATAGACTTTAAACCCCATTAACCAACCAGTGTTAATGACCCTGGTGTAGTAGATAGACTTTAAACCCCATTAACCAACCAGTGTTAATGACCCCGTGTAGTAGATAGACTTTAAACCCCATTAACCAACCAGTGTTAATGATCCTGGTGTAGTAGATAGACTTTAAACCCATTAACCAACCAGTGTTAATGACCTGGTGTAGTAGATAGACTTTAAACCCATTAACCAACCAGTGTTAATGACCCTGGTGTAGTAGATAGACTTTAAACCCCATTAACCAACCAGTGTTAATGATCCTGGTGTAGTAGATAGACTTTAAACCCCATTAACCAACCAGTGTTAATGACCCTGGTGTAGTAGATAGACTTTAAACCCCATTAACCAACCAGTGTTAATGATCCTGGTGTAGTAGATAGACTTTAAACCCCATTAACCAACAGTGTTAATGACCCTGGTGTAGTAGATAGACTTTAAAACCCCATTAACCAACCAGTGTTAATGACCCCGTGTAGTAGATAGACTTTAAACCCCATTAACCAACTAGTGTTAATGATCCCTGGTGTAGTAGATAGACTTTAAACCCCATTAACCAACTAGTGTTAATGACCCTGGTGTAGTAGATAGACTTTAAACCCCATTAACCAACCAGTGTTAATGACCCTGTGTAGTAGATAGACTTTAAACCCATTAACCAACAGTGTTAATGATCCTGGTGTAGTAGATAGACTTTAAACCCATTAACCAACCAGTGTTAATGACCTGGTGTAGTAGATAGACTTTAAACCCCATTAACCAACAGTGTTAATGATCCTGGTGTAGTAGATAGACTTTAAACCCCATTAACCAACCAGTTGTTAATGACCTGGTGTAGTAGATAGACTTTAAACCCCATTAACCAACCAGTGTTAATGACCTGGTGTAGTAGATAGACTTTAAACCCATTAACCAACCAGTGTTAATGACCCTGGTGTAGTAGATAGACTTTAAACCCCATTAACCAACTAGTGTAATGACCCTGTTGTAGTAGATAGACATTTAACCCATTTAACCAACCAGTGTTAATACCCTGTGTAGTAGATAGACTTTAAACCCCATTAACCAACCAGTGTTAATGACCCGAGTAGTAGATAGACTTTAAACCCCATTAACCAACCTTTAGTGTTAATGACCCTTTAGTAGATAGGGTTAACCCCTTAACCACCAGTGACTAATGACCTGGTGTAGGAGATGACTTTAAACCCATTACCAACTCTGAGGTATAAATCACTACCTGTATGTAAGATAACTATTAAACCCTATTGAGGGACTGACCACCTCCTACCATGTTGAGGACTGACCACTATCTACATAGTTGAGGTGATGAACCATCACATTAACCACCAGTTGTTAATGAACCACAGTCTACCACTAGTCTGAGGACTTGACACCACATTAACCAACCATGTTGAGGGATGACCACCTATCTACCATAGTTGAGGGACTGACACCCATTAACCACTGTACTGAGGGACTAGACACCA